AAGTATACACGACATTACCATCAATGCGTCTTACACAACTTAAACATTCTAGACATTTAACGCCATTATTGATGACAGAAAAAAATGTCATAAATCTTGATTGTTAAAAATCGATACAAACGTTAACATTTTAGAGGTCTATGAGCATTACTCTTAATTTTATGCAATAAGTAGCCTGCGGATTTTATGCGTTTATGATAACAACGAGCACGTGCAACTTAAAATGGTAAGAAGATCAAATGAAATTCAGAATGCCGAGATATTATTTTCAGTTAATTGAAATTATTAAAGGAAAGAACAACTTTCTATTTAGTTTCTACTTCTCGGAATTGAAGTAGAAAATTATTATTTCATATAAAGATCAGCAGTCTAGTTGTAAGCAACTCGTGCCGAGCGGACAAAATGTTATTTATGTATATAACGTATATATTGTACCATACATAATGGGGAACTGTCCTAGAAAAATGTAGTCCATTTAATAGGACGCGTTGTGACACTGCCTAGACATCTTGCTGGGCATGCAGGCGGGCAATATGGAACACATTTCGGCGGACAAGGTCCGCACGGCACTGGTGGAGTGCATATCGTAATTTTACATGGGGGAGGGCAAGCCAAGCAAGGTGATGGGCAACATGAGTATGGTACACACGCTGGTGGACATGGTGGGCAGCATCCCGTTGCGGGTGTTACACAACAGGGCATTGGGGGACAGCATGGCGAACATCCTCCACAAGACATTATAATATATATATATATGTATATATAATTTAACTCTTTCTTCTTAGAGTTCTGCTTCTTTTTTTAATTATCTATTATCTTATTGCGAATGTATGTACACACCTTGAATTTTGACAGCCGTTTACCAAATAATGATAAACATTTGAAATTTACGCGCACCTTTCACTTCTTTATTTATTACGTATTCATGGCAAACCTATATTCAGATCATATTCTGGTTTTTGGAAATTGATCGTCTTAATTTCGCTGGAATTAAAAAATTTATTAGTGAGAAATGCATTTATAAAACCACGACTAAACGTAGAAAAAAATGCAAAATCTTTAGATAACGTCAAAATTAGAATAAAGTCAAAATTTTTGTGTGCATTCATTTAAATCAGATCATTTGCAAAAATGCCGTGTGATGGGAAAAACCCGAATTGCGATAAGAGACGGGAATTGTTGTCACAATTAAAATGTTTGATCAGTTCTATGGACAAAAAGTAAGAGGTGCCAGTTTTCTTGATTCAATGATGAAGAATTTAACGTATTTATCCCTGTGTAGAAAACCATGCGAATGGGATGAGCCGTTTTGTCCACCTCCCGTTGTCTGCCCCGTTTCACCTTGCAATGGATTACCCTGTTGCGTAAGTATAAATAAATAATATGATTTTAAATAATTTTAATAATTAAAAGTAAATATCGTGCAAGTAAAGCATACAATTCATACACTCGATTTTAGTTTCAAATATGTTTTATTGGATGTCACATTGTAGTTTTGAAACGTCGGTACCTGCGAGAGACATAGCAGACGTGTCACTAACATTCTCAATTTGAACTTCCAGAGTCCCGTCAAACGATGCAAAAGCTACGAGTTCCGAGCAAGTATTTTATATAGATGCGAGTGTATTAAGAGGAACGGCTTGCAAGATAGGTGCATGATGTGGGATTGCATGGGGAGACCAGAGTGTATGACGAAATTGTACCCTGTTTGTGGTCCAGGCCAATACGCGTTATTGAAATTAACGGATTTAGGAGATGTTGAAGTTGCTTTAAGGAAATTCTATTGCACCGATAAAGCCCGTGAAGCTGCTTTGGCGGCTTATTGTAGATTAGTTTGTGGCAATGGCAGAGACCTCTGCTGCGACCCGTGTCCGCCATGTCCTCCAAATCCATGCCCACCTCCTGCATGTTGTCCACCACCTATATGTTGCCCGCCGCCTGCATGTTGCCCGCCGCCTGCATGTTGTCCACCACCTATATGTTGCCCGCCACCTGCATGTTGCCCGCCGCCTGCATGTTGTCCACCAACTCCATGTTGTCCACCTTGTATTTCTTGTTGCATACCAACGCCATCGGTACCGCCTTGTATATCCTATAAAATTGCCGTACCATGTCCTCCACCATGTCCTCCTCCATGTACACCGCCATGTGCTATACCATGTCCTCCACCGTGTCCCCCACCTTGTCCTCCACCATGTCCCCCACTATGTCCCCCATCGTGCTGTCCACCATGTCCTCCATTATGCCCTCTACCCTGCTGCCCACCTTGTCCTCCGCCATGCCCTCCGCCATGTCCTCCACCATGCCCTCCACGATGTCCTCCGCCATGTTATCCACTATGTCCACCATGTTGTGTTCCGTCATGTCCTCCACCCTGTCCCCCATGCTGTACCCCAGCATGCCCTCCACCATGCCCTCCACTGTGTGCACCATGCTGTCCTCTACCATGTCCACCGCCATGTCCACCACCATGTCCACCACCATGTCCACCTTGCTGTCCAGCGCAATGCCCGCCTCCATGTCTACCATGTATACCCTATTGTTCGCCGTGTCCCCCACCGTATGTTTTTTGTGATCCCCCATGTGTCCCCTGTTAGTTATGATAAATCCTGTGCTCCAAATTTATTCACGTTGAATATTGCAATTATTTTGTAAACAAATCAAATAGAATTGTTACTTTTTCGATTCAATAAAAGTAAATGTTAAACAATTTCGCACGTTTTATAACATTGCACATAATTAAGAGTTCTATCGTGCAGGAACATTATCTCCTACAATATGATCGTTGTCTTTCCCTCTGAAAGACATTAATGAAAATAACTGACACCTCTGTACACAATGGAACACTGATCGTCTCAAGAATGGTCTATTTTAATTTATGGTAGACTCATAAATCGTGGTAGACTATATCATAATCATAAATTATCCAGTGTAGTTTTAACTGCGCGCCATTTTTTTTAAATCTAAACGCGTACCTATGCTTAATTTCAACAAAGTTATGTTATCCTGTAACAATGACAGGTCTGAATCTATTTAGACCTTTTACAATTTTTAGTACAATGCGTACTTGGATTAAGAAATTTATTTAATCATTTCCAATGAAAGAGAGTAATGTATACACACATTTTTGGATAATCATTTATTATATTGTATATTCGATTTTTTTGTGTATTTATATCACTGTACTTTACATCTTTCCTAATGATAATTGATTGTAGTCCTATCCGATCACTGCGAATATAATGCTTTATGAATATTGACACCAAATTATAGATGTTTAATGGCTATTCTCTGTTGTAAACTGTTGTGGAAATCGACACCGAAGAAACTTCGCCGGTGGACATGTTGGCCATGGCTTCGTATTGCAATCGGCTTGATGGCCTAGACACGCGGTCAATGGACAAGAATCTTGGAGGCCATCTCTATGCACACAATAGCATCTAGTGAACAAAATTCCGCCCCTCATTTCAGGAAATTTCAAATTAAGTGCCTGGAAAGATAATAAGTGTTCTGTAGTTGTAGAAGAATTACCGATGTTTCTGTCTTTGATTAAAATAGAAAATGTTTAAATTATATAATATTATATTAATATTATTATATATAATATTATATTTAATTTTATTTATTATATATAATATTATAATATTATATTATTATTTTATTTATTATATATATTATTATAATATTATAATATTATATTATTATTATATATAATTATATATAAATGTTAAAATATATTATCTTTCTATATTTAATAAGTTTATTTCTCCATAAATATTATGCTTTTAAGAATACGACGATTTGCATTTTAGTTATTCTAATAAATTATTTTAGAACTTGATTTTTCTTGTTTTCTGATTTGTAAAAGATTACCAGCTGGCTACAGTCCTCTTTCGACTTATGGTTTGCATGACCCTTGTCTTCCACTCTTGGTTGCACACTTTTCGTTGGTACTTCTATTAATACATTGTTCTCACATTTATCACGTGATCTTTTGTTTCCATTAGTTTTTTCTTCGATGGGAATCATCATGAACATAGGTGGAGGTGATGGCTTTGCCCGTTTTATTTCTTGGGCTTGTTTTAGTAAATCCATGTGGTGGTAACTATTGTACGTACATTTATTAAGGAACATTAATAAACATAATCGTAATGTTGAAAACATCAATATATTTTTGGAAAAAATAATAGAAAGTGATAGTTAAATGAAAATAAGGGAAGTGTTACATTTCATTTTATTTATAAGAAATAGGTTTTTGTAGGCAAGGTGTAAATATTTATTTTTAAGTGTAAAAGGGTTTGTAATTTATTTGTTGAAAACTCTGAGTCGTATATCCTGTATACTAAGAAACACATTTCCACATCGATTATAATCATACATAGGTATGGCCATTTTCATAAATCCAAATGTTAATTAACAGTAATATAATCTATATATCTATATATATTTACACGGTTTGCTATAACTGCAATCTAAACTAAATATATCTATTTACATAATTTCATATAGCCATAATAAATAATAACATTCTATATATTAATTTATATATAGTTTAAATTGTAAAACTAACCATTCTAAGGCCGTCACTGCGGCTTTTAATCCACATATTATATCTGCTGGATTGACTGTTTCAGTTGAAGACATTTTGATTTGCTAATATTTTTCTTTAGATCAATAATATACTTGTCAATTTATTTACTGTTATTTTACACTTGTTAATTTTGTATTCTGTAAAAATATTAAAATTTGTAGGAGTTTAAGTATACATTACGAAATTTAGAATTTTTTGTTTCATATTGTTCTGTTTTCGTGTTTTTATTAAAGTTGACAACTTTAGAGTATATATAATTTCATTGTGTACATGTTTACATACATTATGTAGATATATTGTAAGTTGATGAATAAAAAAACTGATAACACTAAGATAATTATTTTAATGTTTCGATTACTTTAAATGTTAAATGCCCCTTATACAATACACAGTTTCATACATAATATATAATTTATATAGAAATAGTAGAAGAATATGTTTATTTTGTACTTTATTAATAATCATGTAGTACAGTATTTTAGTTCACAATTAAAAAAGCTATATAGAAGACACGGATACTAACAACACATTTTAGAATAATCAGGCGTTGAACAGATCGGTTGTGGACAGCAAATCGGTCTTCCTCGGTACCATTTATCCGTCTGTCATATCCAGAACAAATAGAAAAAATAATTTTTAAATCTTAACAAGTCTAGTCGCATGGAATTACCCAATAAGCAGTTTGCTCTCAATTTCTTACGAATTTACTGTTAGTTTTATCGGAAAAATCCGAGCCGTTCTACAGGGTGTCCCAAAATTATGGTACTTCCAAGAAATGAGGGATTCCTGAGATCATTTAAAACAACTTTTTCCTTAGCGAAAATGCAATCCGTGGCATTGTCTATGAATTATTAACTAAAAACAGTGGACCAATGAGAGACAACATCGGCCGGCTTGCACCAGCCGAGCTGGTCTCTCATTTCCAGTGTTTTTCGTTAATAACTCGTAAACAAAGCCGCGAATTGCATTTTTGCTAAGGAATAAAGTTGCTTCAAATAATCTCAGGAACCATCCATTTCCCGGAAGTAATAACGCTATAATGATAATTTTGAGACACTCCGTATATTCGCAGTAGACTTGGATTTTGCAGATAAAATTTATTGTGTAAAATAGCGAATTAGCACGAAAATTCTGTTATAATTCTGTTAATCTAAATAATTAATTCTGTTAATCTTGTGACCAATGTGATAGCCTTTGGCAAGATACGGACTACAATATTCCCTCGATAACTGGCCCAATTTCGGGTCTCTCGAGTAACAGCTATCCTAGAGCTACTAGATCTTTTTGTGGTATTCCAGATGTAGAGAAGAAAAAGAGTATTTAGGGTCACTGGAGTATTTAGGGTCCAATCGGACCCATGTTTATAGACAGTCTTGAACTTAGTCAAGTGTCTTGAATTATCCTCTTCCTACTCATTTACCTCCCTTGCGTGTTTCAACCACAAAGTAGTAATGTCGTATGGCTCCGATTGGACCCTCAACCTTGTAAATTCTATGAAATTTCAATGAAACTTCTATCACCGCATTCATCATTCATTTTGCTAATTCAAATAACACCGAACGCGATATAATTACGATTACAATGACTTGTGTAATAAGTTGAAGTCCGAAACTTTAATCGCTTTCGACACAAATAATTATAATCATAACTATATCTCTCGTGGTGGGTGTCAGCTTAATCAGAAAAACGAGACAAATACGATGGCTCCTCAAACGGAATAACTTTTTTAAAATTGGTCCAGATAACTTGAATCTGTTTGAGATGTTTGCTCGAGTGATAAGTAAACAAAATTTATTCGGATTGCAACTGGATGGGATGATACAAAAAGTTAGAAGATAATATTTTTTTAACTTTCTTTATCCGAGCGTGTAACGATAATTTAAAAAATATGTTTTGCTGATATCGGTAACTCATGTGTAGCTTCACTTTGCGTTAATCAATTCTGATACAATTTTCAGCATATTATTTAAATTTTACATATATATATTATATTTATTTATTATTATATCATTTATTATATATTATTATATTATATTATTTATTATTTATATATTATATTTATTATATATTTAAATTTTCGTTACAGGTTCGGATAAAAAGAATTGAAAAAACAAATTTTGCTTACTTATCACTCGAGCAAACTAGTCGGGCTAACATCTAAAAAAAAATCAAGTTATTTGGACCAATTTTAAAAGAGTTATTCCATTTATAAAGCTGTCAGCATACTTCCGGCGACGAGTAACAAAAGAATCAAAAATAAGAAAAGTTGCAAGTTTGCTTCGCTGCGTTGGACTCGTTTGTAACACGAGTCTTATTTGGCTAGGACGTCGACTGGTTCCAAGGGGGATTCAAAATGGCAGGGATTGAATGTTGATAGCTATCGAGAGAATACTGTATTTGCAAATAAATAAATAAATAAAACTGTGCAAAGAGTTAAGACTAAAGTAATGTTAGGAAATCGGAAAACATAATACTGGAGAAATTTAACATAGCAATAAAATTATAACCCAATCGTAAGAAATACTTTTACGTACACCCTGTAGTACATAACTTCGACCTGGTATAACATACAATAAATCTGTTCCAATACTATTCAAATTCGAAGTTAAAAGTATTTCCGCGGTAGAGCTATACGTAATCAGTGGTCTCTTCATAGGAACCGTCCAAGCTGGTTTGCACTCTTCAGGGCTGGGTTTTACTGACCATGCTTCCGGATCATATCTGCAGTCATACTTTACACACATCATTGGTTGCGTCTTTTTTCTGAAAAAAATATATATAAAATGTCATCATATATCATATATATATAAAAATATCATTATAAGTTACTTTGAGAACCCCACTAGGTTAACTAAGTTTTATCACAAAATAGACAATCATTCCCGTTAAATAAAATGACGGAATTAATCTTACAAGCAAGCCATTTTCTCCGAAAGATATCTTAAGCATTTAAGTTCTTGGCCAGAACTTGATATTCCATTCGAAAATCCCCAATTTCCAATAGCTTCCGCTACCCCCGTACCGCAACCTCTCGAAAATTCAAAATTGCACCCCATTTTTCGGAACTATTATCAGTACTTTATAGTCACAAATAATTTAATTAACGAGAATTTTGTAATTATGTACTTCGGAATGATTTTACTAAAAAAATATAGATCAGATTTAGTGATTGAAAATAAAAGATGTATGGACTGAAGTACATCATAAACATTACTATAGTGCCGGAAAAAAATGAATTGGCTTTCAAACTTCATACGAATAAATTATTTAATTTGCCAAACAGTAAGAACATGGATCTGATCCATGCAGTTATATCTTCAGTTAACAATAAAAAGAATTCGTGTATGGAAAATGGCATGAAATCTGCCAATTTAGGTGTTAAATAAATATTCTGAGGGAACAGAGATGCTCATAAGACACTCCTGCATCTATATTATGCAAAAAAGTTTATTTGTAACTGCAAATATAGATAACAAATGATTCTTGCCACTGTTCTCCTAATATAGAATGTAAATTACCGCAAGAATCATCTGCTCCATAAAATATGAAGATAGCGTCAATCCTTAAATAGTAAAGTGACGCCATCTAATGGTTGAAAAAAATATCTGCAGTCGGTAATAGCGCTAAATCTAGATTTTAATAGAAAAATTATTAACTTGTAAAATATATCTTCGCGTTGTCTTTATAATACGGAATGTGTTATTAATTTATTGTGGACGTAGTACTCTTAATGATCACACTAAAAAGGTGGAAAGCGCAAATAACAAATTTAGGAATAAACGACTAAGTGTGTGGAATCGAAGCTATACCTAACTCTGTCAAATTATTACAGAAAATAGGTGGTTCTGCTTCTTATTTTATATTTTGATTAAATAAGAACGATTGTATTTGATCATTTGCTTACATTTAGAGGCAATTAGTTTATTCGTATAATTCACTAGAATTGTTTTGTACTTGGACATTTAATATTATTATAAATAGCACTGTGACAGTTGAGGTTAGACATGCGAGTTTCATAAATTATATCAAAATTAACTTTCACAAATAAAATGTAAATTAAATCAGATCATTGTAGCTGTGATAATTAATATATTAAGTCTCTTTAACATAGATACAATAATACATAATACAATTCTGTGGTAACAACATAAAACAAAATGAGGCAACAAATAGTCGATATGAAGATGAGTTTCCAGGCAGTTGGAGAAGCCGACGAATGTCTTTTCGAATATTTACATACAGAAATGGTTAATTATGTTTTGAGTAAAACATGTAACAAAAAGGTAATTAATCATATAAAATTATTAAATTTAAGAAACTTTTAAACTTATATTTTATATTTGTTCTTTATAAATTTTTACGCATGAAGATTATTTTAATAAAATAATGTAATTTATTTTTTATATTTACAATATTGAAAATATAAAGGAAAAGGAAGAAGAACTCAGTCGACTCGAATGGATGGGATTCAGTGTTGGCTATAGAATCATTGAACGATTAACATGGGAATGGAGTAGATTCAAAGATGAGCTGGATATGATCAAATTCATTTGCACAGATTTTTGGACCAGTCTTTACCATAAACAAATTGATAATTTAAGGACTAATCACCATGGTGTATACATATTACAGGACAATTCATTTCGGTTATTGGATAAAGTAGGTACCAATGGCAATAAACAATATCTTCAAGAAAGTCCACGTTTACTAGCATTCACTTGTGGACTTTTACGGGGAAGTTTAGCAAATCTCGGAATAATTAGTACTGTTAATGCTGAAATTTCTACATTACCAACTTGCAAATTTCATGTACAAGTACAGCAAATGTAATAATTGTAACGTTGCTCTTATATCAATACAGATATATGAAAATTTAGACTCCTCTTTGCAGACAGGGGGACACCAATATTTCCATAACTTTGATCCCTA